ATTAAACTAGAAACCAAGTGGTCAGTGCTTCAGAAGCAACGATCAAGTTCATTGAACACTTAGCTCAAACATCTGTAGCATTGCATACATATCGGCGAATGTCGGTCTGTTCTCAGGCTCAAATGACCAGCACATGAGCATAAGCTTTGCCATATCTGACGGGCAACCTTCAGGAGACTCCATACGATAGCCCTTTTCAACGTAACGAACAACATCCTCAACAGGCTGAAACAATAAATATTAAAAAAGAATTATCGGAATTCTTCATAAAATAATTACTATTCTCGGATACGGAACTCGACCAAATGAATAAATTTCCCACAACAGAATGCCGAACGACCACACGTCAGATTTACTAGTGAATTTCTGAAGAGAAAATTAGTAAGCGGGTAACGCAACAATAACAAAACCACAAATAAATTTACGTTATGCTTCAGAGCTTCTGGAGCGGTCCACTTAATTGGAAACCGGCCGGTCGCGTCTTCCACCGTTAGATTATTGGCGCGGCGGGCCAAGCCGAAATCTGAAATCTGACAAGCAACGCTTCAGTCTATTTGAGAAGAATAGTGAGCAGACAACCAACAAACCTTGGGAGTCATGTTCTCAGAGAGAAGGATATTCCGCGCCGCTAAGTCGCGGTGCACCAGGTTTCTAGATTCGAGGTAAACCATTCCGCTGCATATTCCACTAAACAAATGCGAACTTTCATAAAAACTGGTAATCGTGAAGGGTGTCAAGGGGGAGGGGCAATTCGCCTCTACTACCTTGCAAAACAGATCTGTTGTCGCTTCGAAACTTGCTGACGACCGCGCGACCGCAGGTAATCCAGCAAACTGCCGTTGGACATGTACTCTGTTACGAGATACACTTCGTTTGCCCCATCACCATTGCCGCTGCAAACGAGGCCAAGTAGCTTTACGAGATTTTCGTGGCACAAAGATCTGAAATCTTACAATGTTGACAGAGAACTTTCGAAGATCCTATTCCAAGTGTGCTCAGTTGTGAAACAGAAAATAAGGATTATTCCGTTCCGCATGCGGTATGTAGATCACAATCTGAGTTCATCATTCTAAGCTCATAAGATCTACATTTATTCAGATTCAAAGCGACTGATTTGAGCTACTCCAATGAAAAATTATAAACATAGAGGCAAACTTTACATAAAAGTAAACGTCAAAATTGTGTTAGACGTAATATCTGTCTCCCTTCAATCTCTACCACAAATGACATTGTCAGATTATGCATGATCTTCAAACGCTGTTGTAAAAAACAAATTCAAACAATACAAGAGGCAGTCTTTCTTTTACTGCGCATCAAACGAAAATGGAAAAAACGTTGTTCCGCATCTTCCTTCCTGTTGAAGACTACTACGTTCGAATAATTCGCCTAAGTCCAAGCAGTCTATTTCTTCTCATCCCCGTACAACTCTTCATCGCAGTGCAGATCGCGTCAGCTTTGGTTTGAATTTGAAACGATGGATTTTTTGCATCCTCCATCATACAAGCGATTTTTATATAACTTATTTACTCAATTAGTTTTGCGAATCTCTTGCAGCTATCTTGACCAAATACATTCAATTAAAGCTTGATACCCTGGCATCTTATCCAAATCAATCAATGGCAACAAAACATTTCAAATGCCGAATTTCTTTGGTAACCAGCCAATCAGATTCAATGACCGCTAATCCTTTCAAATCATGCAGGTAGCAAAATCAGACAATGGGTCTCTAACGTTCCTGATCCCATGCCAGAATCCTTCGACACACTTACCCCGGGTTATTCTTTGCCGTCACTGAAGACTTCGGCAATTAAATTGAGAAAACAGCAGCTGTTTCACCTTTCCTTCTGGAAACATTCCCCAGAAGGTACCCAAACCATCACAAGTGTGACTTCTCAACCCAAAGAAGCAGCGAATGTCCACTAAGGATCTCTCCGTATCAGTACTCCGGACCATGTCGAGATGAGTCAGGCCAGCAGTTCGTCTTTCAGCAAGACCATTCCTGCCACTTTTACAAGAATTGCAGGTTTTTAGTCATGGCCCACGACTCATGAACATCGGTAAGCATGAGAAACAAAATTCATGTGGACATAAACAGCTCAGTCTTTAGACTCTGCTTCGCTTTAACCACAGCGGTTTGGGCTAGTTCATGCAGAACGCAAGTAGTCATCCTAATTCGCTGGTGGATTTCTTCCTCTCATTTGCCATAATCATTAAACCAGATCCCGAGCTACGTAAACTTCAACTTTCCTACTGCTCCTCCGTTTACCTGCAGAGTGCAGCAGACATACGAATCAGAAAGCTCAAAGCCCCCGGTTGTAGACACGTTCACATGCGTGCCAACCACGTGTGTAACTTGGCTGCGAACGTTTCTCGAGCGCGCTGATGATCGCTGTTCATCAAAAAATTAGTTCATCTGCAAACATCAAACGCATCGTAACGACATCGCCTACACTGATACTCTGGTTGTCTTGTGAATGCGTCCGATTATTCAAACACTGTTTAATACAAACAGGAGAGAGATGCGAACAGAACGAACCGATGGCGGAGACAAAAATCAGAGTTTTGCTTCGTTGCCAATTCCATTCGTCGGAATAAAGCTGAATCTTTTGGTCTGTGGTTTCTGTAGTTTGCAATTTTATATTTCATCGTGATATACCCTCAGCTGACTTCACCTTGAAGTTCGATCACCTTCTCCTCAACTTCCTTACAGCCAACCTTCCTCAACACCCTTACTGTCTTCTCAGTCTTTTGATTCAGGGTCTTTGCCTCCAAATTTTAAAAAAAACAATTCCCATATGCACCACCACTCACTGATATTTAACTCCTTCAAAAAATTTGCTCGGAAACTCGTTCAGACTTCTGTTGGGATGCGTAGCCTTTCAAAATACAAGGCAATATGTCACTGGAAGTGTCCCACCTCCCTGAAAAGACATCAGCTGTAAAAGCAACACAACTTACGTCATCATAGCAGCCTCCTGCAGCAACGACTCGACGACGTGGTCACCTCGTTTCAAAACTTTGACAGCTACTTTCATGCCGGCATAACTACCCATTAGAACATCTGTAAAGAATGATTAAAAATGACTGATAAGGTATGTTAAAAACTAAATCAATTTTACGCACCTCCAAATTCGCCATGGCCGATCACCTCGCCCAACTGCAGTTCGTCGCGCTGAATAGAAAAGTCTGAGAGGTCGCCACCGCCAAGTTCGCTGAAGTGCTGCTTCCGATTTTCTTTACCGGAAGAAGCGTTCACGGGGAAAGTTAGTTTGTGACAAAGGCCATCGGCATCCTGCCTGTAATGCTAAACCGGCTATGTTAAACAAGCAACAGTCGAACGACAACGACAAGACCGCTTACGGCAACAAGCATACTCAGCGAAGGGAAATATTCCTCCTGGTCACATGAGAAGGAGCCATCCTGACTACGTATTCTGAAACCACAACATTACTGCAACCGTATGTGAGTAATTAAAAGAAAATAATTACATGGCACAAACCCTCACTCTGGAAGAGCAATGATTAGCTTTCACCAGTAGTTTATTTTGTTATTCAGATCACATGTA